CACCGGCTGCAGGTGCGCGCCGCCGCCGGCAGCCGGAGGCGGTGCGGCTGGAAAGGGCTGGAAGGAAGACGGCGGTCCAAAGGCTCCATAAGCCAGGGTCCCGGGTGGGGGCGGCGGCGGCCCCAGTGGAGCCCCCCTCGGCCGCAGCCCGCCGTCCAGGCCCGGGCCGGCGTAAGGCTGCAGAGTCCGGAGCGCGTGAGGCCCGTGTGCCGGAGCGGCGGGAGGCGGCACCGGCACCAGGCGGTAGCCCTCGGAGATCATCAGGTGGTCGGCCATGGCAGCGGGCTGGCTGCGGGTGGAGGCGGCGTGCGGAGGGTCAGGGCGGGCGTCCCCAGGACCCCGGCCTGCGGCTCCTCGGAGCGGGAGACCAGGAGGACACCGTGTCTTCCTCACAACCCAGCCAGGCAAAGGAAAACTGAATCCGACTTGCTCCCCTCGCCAGACCAGATCGCACTCAGCTCCGCTTTCCTGCGAACCCCGTGGCCGCCGCTCCCGAAGGCAAAACAACGAGATGCCCACTGACTGGAGACCCGGGACCCGCGCGTCCCGCCCCAGGGCCCCGCGACATCTTAAACCAAGGGGCGGGGATGCCCCGCCTCCGAGTTCTCATTGGTTGGATAAAACGTTTCTGTTTACTCTAAGCCCCGCCCCCGATATAGCTCCGCCCATGTGTTCCAAGGCCCAGCCCCAGACTTTGCGTGCTGGCCTTGGGGCGGAGTGTTTGACGCTTTCCTAGGGGCTTCATTGGGCTTTCGGTTCAGACTCCAGTCTAAGCTAGGGTCGGCTTACTACCACAGGAAAATGAAGGGAGGAGGGAGGTGTTTAGGTGGTCAGAGATTTGGGCCCCGGGAACTGTCGGATCTTAGTCCCACTCATTCTCTTAATTTTTTCTAATAGAGACGAGGCTCAGAGGCCTAAGACGTTTCCTAGAAGTACACAGCAAAGCCCTGACCGAAGTGACTCGCCTTGATCCTATGGTTGCCACTTCTGTGCAGGGCACAGGCACCCTAGCTGTGCAGGGTCTCCCACGGAGGTCAGCTCTCAGGAAGCCAGTTTGCTCCTTCTCTGGCTCCCACTGCACCTTGTGTGTTGAAGCATGTACTGAGTTGTTATTAATTTGTGGGCATGTCTCCTGAAGGACTTGCTCGTCTCCTCAGCCTTGGCTCAAAGCCTGGCCCAGAGATGGCTTTTTATAAAAAGCCGAGTGAATGAGCAAATGATAGAGTGAGTTGCAACCCAGTGACCTGCTTCAGCTTTTTTGTCTGAAAGACTGACAACACCACCACGATCCCGCTGGGCTGCGGAGAGGTGGTGCGAGGGGATGTGCGGACAGTGCCTACCACCCGTCCTGGAGATAAGTGTTCTTTGAACGAACGAAAAGGCTGCATTTAGCTCTAACGCTAAGGGGGGGGGGATTTCTCACCTATTCTGAAGAATAATACCGACTTTCTAAAGTGCTTTACATTCCTTAAGCATCTGTCAAGGGACTGGGCATGTGTTATTAGCCCCAATTTACAGATGAAGAGACTAAGTCACACAAAGAGAAAGTGGTTGTTCTGGGAACTCACACAGTAAATTACCATGTGAATACTTTGTGCTCTTCAAAAGCTCAGAGCCTCTGAGAGACTTCCCCGGCCAAATACAGCCTCCCTGAACCTTGACCTTCATTTGTTTACTAGTCAGTCCCTCCCTCTTCTGACACCCCCTCCCCCCCAGCTGCCTTGGAACTTCCTGGAACTTACTTTTATTTAGTTTGTGCAGAGGGATGAAACCAAGAAAGGCTGTTCTAAGGCTCCTGTTGCCCCAACACCCACAGGCAGGTGTGTGACCCTTGTCTGTTGAGTTGGGAGTGGGAGGAAAGCATTTTATTCCCCCAGAGCCTCAACTTTCTGCTGAGTGAAAGGGAGATGGTGATCCCTGCCTGGGTACCCTGAGATCTTTTTTTTTTTTTTTTGGTCGGTCTTGGGGCTTGAAATCTGGGCCTGGGTGCTGTCCCTGTGCTCTTTAGCTCAAGGTGAGCGCTCTACCGCTAGAGCCACAGCGCCACTTCTGGTTTTCTGGTGGTTTATTGGAGATAAGAGTCTCACGGACTTTCCTGCCCAGGCTGGCTTTGAATCGTGATTCTCAGATCTCAGCCTCCTGAGTAGCTAGGATTACAGGCGTGAGCCACCAGCACCCGGCTACCCTGAGATCTTATAGGAAGGTCACAGATGACCATAATGTTGTGGATTTCTGGAGCTGTGAGTTGATAAGAGACAGAAAAGTAAGAGAAAGCAAAGATTTATTGGGATATTGGTACAAGAGAAACACAATAGGCATGTAGGCAAAAGAGAATAATTGGGAGGATTTCTACCTTCAGTAAGGCTACTTCAGATTGGCCATCTCCAATTTTCCTGGACCCTACTGACTGGCTGTCTCTTTCTCTGACCATAGTTCAAGTTTTGCCTGCATAGGAACATATTGAGAGCTGTTTTTACATCTGCATTCCATCTGGCCTTTGGTATTTCCCTGTCTGCCATGTCTCCTTAGTGGGGCCTCCCCTCACATTCCTCCCTGACAACAAAACCAGGCCTGGTTTTAGTGGGGTGAAGGTCTCATATTCTTGTAACTGCTTTGAAATGGGTAAGATCTTAGTGATGTGACTATGCTGTGCTTTCCAAGGGCTCTGGCAGGGGCCAGTGTATTTGTTGTTCTGGTAGTGGGTTCTGGAATGTTCTGGTCCTTGGGGACACAGCAGGCTCATCTAATTGAATAACAGAATTGTGTGGAAGCCAGGTCCTGGGGGCTAAGAAGCACTGTGGGTCACATGGAGGGTCACAGGAAGGGTCACACAGTAGGGGATGAAAGCCACATTGTAGCACCAGTTGTAACTTTATGGCCTAGGGGTGAGAAAAAACAAATCTGGTTAGAGGACTAATAAAACAAGGTCCAAGGAGTAAAATAGACAGCGGACTCTCCAGGAAGGGGATAAAACTTCCTGGCTGACCATGACTTGGTGTTTTTCCATGAGAGTAATCCTTGGGTGGCTCATTTTCTAAGTTGAGGACTTGAGTTAATTAATGAATGTTAGTTTGAACTTGGTCTGATCTATTAACCCCCAAACCAGCAGTCTTCCCAAGCATAGAATGGGTTTCCCCTTGGGCAGCCGTGAGCTTTTCTAAGGCCCTTTTGTTTTGTCTAGACCAATAGAATTTTTTTTCTTTTTTTTTTTGTACACCAGTGAGGGCTTGAGCTAGGGCATCTAAAACATTGGCTATTTCAAATGAAACATTTTGTAGATTAGGAAGGAAGAAACAATTTTTTTTCTAGTATTCTCCCTATGCCTGATATAACCTTGAGGCCTATTAGCAGAGGTATGAGTTGGGAGGGGCATCTGGGCATTTTCCAGCTATACAGAGAGTGATAGAAAGGCTAGGGTACAGGCTCGTGTGTAGTTGGAAGGTGGATAGATGTGGGCATCAGTGTCAGGTAACAATGCTTATGAGTCTTTTTTTTTTTTGGAAGGGTTGGCACAGGTGACTCCATTTGGAATCTGACAACATCCCTTCTTGCCTGAACAGTTTTACTTTAAACACTTTGCTCTGAATGGTGCCTTGTTGTGGGAATGAACATGTTCTGTCCCAGTAGGCTTTTCCTCATGGCTGGGATGAGATGCTCTGGTTGATGTGATAGCACGTTGGAGGTCACATGGAAGTCAGTGCCAATAGGATCTCTTGTCCAGTCAACTGTAACAAAGAGATTTAAACAGAATGATCATTAAGCTGGGCTTGCCTAGAGTCCATTACATTGTTGTTTTATTGATGTTGTTGCAATTAAGAACATATGGACGCAGCCTATACAAGGCTAGCTTAGCCTCATCAACAATTTAACTTAGAAGGCATTAAATGTCATAGATTTTTGCAGCTGTAGGTGGGTAAGAGAATAATTGAGACAAGAGAGTAAGAGAAGGCAGATTTATTAGGACACTAGTACAAGAGAGACACAGTGGGCAACTGGACAAAGGAGCAGAGCACACGGAACCAGAGCTAAGAGTGGTGTTTATATCTTTGGTGAGGCAATTTTGGATTGGCAGACCTCTTTTTCATGGACACTAGTGATTGGCTGTCTCTCAGACCATGGTTTGAATTTCCCAGGTGCAGAAGCATCTTGAGAGCTTAGTTTTTGCATCTGTATTCCATTTGGGCCTTGGTATTTCTCTGACTACTATGTCTCCTTCAGTGGGGCCCCTTTTCCACAAAGGTGTATACATTGCACATTTTTCAAAGTGTAAAAGCTAAGTGACTCTTGGATGCCTGGCTCTCAGAAATGGAAAGGATGAACGTGTATGGATCTTTTGGGTTACTTTGTGTTTTGCTTGTTTTGCAATATTGGGATTTCAACTCAGGAATTTGCACTTGCTAGGCAGGTGTTCTAACCCATTTTTCTGTGGGTTATTTTGGAGATAAGGTTTTGCTTCCGCCCAGGTGTACAGATAAGCTGCAATTCCCCTATATTAGCCTTTACCTTACAGCAAGGATAGCTGGTCTGTGCTACCCCCGTCACACAGGCTTTTGATTGAGAAGGGGGTCTTAACGCTTTTCAGATTGGGTTGTCCTCAATCTGATCCTCCCTTCTCAGCCTCTCAAGTAGCTAAGATTACAGAGATGAGCCATCAGTGCCTGGTCAAGTGTGTGCTAAGTGTTGGGGTCAATAGTATAGTTAATATATTAGCATAGCAATCTGTTCCTCTTCAATCTCCAGATGGGATGTATCTTGCTCTCCTTTTTCTTTTTACTGAGCATTTACTGTCCCCCAACTAGGCAATCCACTTTTTATTTATTTATGAGTAATTTTATTTGAAACAGGGCCTTATTCACTAACTCAGGCTACAGGTATGTGTCACCACATCTTGTCACTTATTTATTGGGGTTAATTGCTTATCTCCTCTCCATTGGAATGCCAGCTCCTCGTGGGCAGAGGACTTTGCCCGTTTCATCTAGGCCTTATAAGACAGTGCCCGACATGTCTTGTGTCTCACTGTATCTGAGATGTTACTGGTTTAAGAAGATGCTTATTCTGAAAAATACTAAAATGTGGAAAAGAATACTTATGTCTTCCAGTGGAGAAGTATGATGGTATCTGCTCTATGTTTTAGGGTGTAAATGTTGCTCCTGTTCAGGGTAGCTGTGTATCTGACCAAAAGTCAGACATTTTCTCTGGCACTGAGATGTGAGCAGAAGAGACAGGGCAGAGAAAGTACTAGAAAAGCAGGTGGAAGTATTCAGAATAAATAAATAAATAGAAGCAAGGGTGGGGGCAGAAGGAAAGGGTAGTAAGTACTTAATGGGTTCAAGGACTATTTTTGGAGTAGTAAGAAGTGCCTTGGCACTAGAATTGGCGGTTGTTCAACATGGTGGATGTATTATGAACTGAAATGATCACTTTAAAATGGCTAATTTAATTTCACCTTAATGAAAAAAATGAAAATAAAAGATGCATTCAACCAGCATGCTCTGTGTGCTTTGTCTGCCCTTTTTCCCTACCTGGGATGAAGATG